AGGGATATTTACAGTGTAGAGGTCTATACGGTCGGTTGTGATGGACACTTTGAGCCTCTTTGATTCGTAGGATCTTGTAAACATAGGAATAGGATTTGTAGTGGCCTGCCCACTTGAATCCTATAAGAATAGTAAGGAAATGCGGGGAGCTGTGTCGCCTTTGAGAGTTACACTGATATTAACAGTACCGCACCTTCACTTGAAGAGAGCTGGTATCCGAAGCCTTTCTAGCCGTACCGGCAATACTAGCACATATATTCCAGCAAGTTCCACTTTGTTGATTTTACTCTGATGCTTAAGGTTTTCCCATTATATCTACACTATGATCTGTGTAGCTGCTTTGTGTCGCACTAGCAGCAGTCCACTCTTGAAGCTAAACACTTCAATGACTTACAAAATTGGCACTAAGGCATTGAGTGCCATTCTGGATGCAATGAAACTCATACGCTCCCCACCTGTTGATTCTTGTTCAGAATATGATCCTAATGACTATTCTAACCTCGAGGGGTCAAAGGCAGATGGCCTGTCCTATTCACCCATCAAGGTGCCTGTTCTAATTTGGCAATGTTTTATTGATTGCGGGTATCTTGCATATGTTGTCTTGCATTTCTTCTACTTTGTTGCACCGCCATCTACTTAGTTTACTCATCATATATGTCGAGATGCCATGCCCATCCATTATCAATACATATTCCATCTATCATCATACCATGTTTTTCCACTCAAATGATGTTCTTGTGCATCAGACATCAAAAAGGAAGATGACGATTGCCGAACCTGAAGGAGCACTAGCAAAGTCCTTGAAAAACGTGGTGGTGACGGAGAAATCAGACAGCGCCCCACTTATATTGGCTGTACAACCAGTGACACAAAACATAGGACCGATTCCAGCAGACTGTACCCATACTTCACTGGCCACAATACTAGCCCCACCACACAAGACCTGCACTCCAGCAAAAGGTATACCGATTTCATTTGCCATAGCACCGGCTGTACCACAGAAAAATCCCACTCCAGCAAAAAGTACAACAAGTCCACCGGCCGAAGACCTATCCCAACTGCAGAGACGGCCAATTCCTGCAGATTGGAACCCTATTCCATTTATTCACAGTTTAAAGGACAATGCTTTCAATGTTGTTAGGGACTACGTGCATATATTCCCATCATGGGAAAATTATTGTGAAGACAAACACCATTTTCACATCTTCCTGTCCAACTTACGTGTAAGTGCTATTATTCATGGTTATTATTTTCCTGTTTTCTGCTGATTGAACACATCAATGATTTACATTACATTGTTGTAACTAGGCAAGGGTCAATCTGGACAGTCATGACGAGCAAAGCTTGCTTGTGCTTTTCAAGGAAGCATTGCGGCAGTATCGGTGTTAACTGAGGAAATCACACTTTGATGGCAAGTCTATAAACGAATTTTCGGTGAAGTCTCTTGTGCTAAATTTAGAAGACATTGAATGGAAAAACCTTGTTATGCACTGGTCTCGTTCCCAGGATGAGGTACTGTCTATGAAACCACATGACAATTTGAACTTCTACTTTTTCGCATGTGCCTTACGGATCTTTTTTGCAGGAAATCTGCTCGAAAAAGAATTTCAGTTTGACAAGAACGACATGATATCGCAAATATGCTACCCGCTGCTTTGCTCTTGTTAGTACTTGTTGTCCTGTATCACTGTACTTGCATACATACCTGGTTCATTATGTGACAGCAGTATGCATGATAGCTTGCTTATCAATTGTTCGCTTTAAATTATCTGATCTGTATGAATGGTTACATTAGTGTAGAATATATCCAATGCCAATGTTTTTTTAGCTCTGCATTATTCTTGTAAGTACATATTGTCCTTTATCAGTGTACTTATAATGACAGGTAGTTGTTCATGTACCATCACTCTGCAACTTATTTTTCTTTGCCCTCCATTTTCTACACATCAGATCTATATTTACTCTTACCATAAGGTTGGTACTGAAGAAGTTTAGCTATGCATTGCTCTTGGCTGTACCTTTTGTCTGTATCGCTGCATTTACATTTATAGCTACTTGGTTATGTAGCATCACTCTTCATCTTATCTTAAATATTCTCCATTTTTTCGTATATTATCACATCTATATTTATTCTTAACAAAATGTAGAATAAAGACAATGCTTTTGAAGAAGATTCTGTGGTAAACTTCTTGAATTGCCCCCCCCCCCCATCAGCATGGACAAAGCCTTTATAGAGTCTGTCTTCACCAATAATGTAAGTTTGTCCATCTCAAGCCTTCAAACTTTGTTGTATATATTTGGTTAGGCATGACTGCACCAACTGTTTATTTTTAGTGTTTGCATTAAATTGTTTGTTTAAAGTTTATTATGTAGTTCATAAACAAAAGTTTGTCATTTCTCTATTTAAATTTTCAGTTGTACAACCAAATTCCTTCTTCATACCATGTAAATTAAATTATACAGAGCAAGTGATCTTCTTTTGCACTACATGTATGCTTCTGTTCTTCATCCATAATCCAGTGGTGTGGTGAACCTACCCACTACAGCACAATGTCATATTCTGCAATGTCTTAACTATGAACAATGTCATATCATTCTACTATTATTTAAACCGTCTCTTTATTTGCCAATCTGAAATGTTATAAATTGACAGCACACTAACCATTGATACTTATGAGTTCTTGATCTGTAATCCAATGGTGTCGTGAAGCTGCCAACTCCTTCACAATGTCATTTCCTGCCATGTCTTGACCTGAACAATACCATATTGTGTTAATGCAATTTTAAACTGTGTCACTTTATTCCATTTTGTTGAAATCAATGATAGCAACCCAAACAGAAGGTTCGACATCTATAACGCCGACAATTTGCTGCATCGAGGCTTCTCCCGTCGCTTTTACAGGCCAACAACTTGTATGACAGCGGGCAATTCTTGTATAACGGCGACGCGTTCTACACCCTGAATATGACGCATGGCTCGATCCTGCCCCCGCTCATCAACACGTTCAAGGTGTACTCGCTCATTCGGATGGAAAACTTTACCGCTGACTCCCAGGATGGTAAGATCGATCATCGACATAGATATTGCACGCATATGACGAATATATCATGCGTGTGACAAGATTCGCACCATCATCATGCAGCTTATTCAGTTGATGAACATCACCTCCAGCTCCCTGCACTTAAAACAGATCTTAATGACAAAAATCTCATTGTATACTTGTGTAGACCCCTGAAGATTCTCAACTCCATTAGACATTGCCAGTATCCTCATTAAAGTAATAGAAACAAGTTTATCAACCAGCTGATTCAGTCCTACACTAAACTCCTTAGTAAGACAATAACCAGCTGATTCAGTCCTACACTAAATTCCTTAGTAAGCCATGTTCTAAAGTTCAACGGCCCACAAACCATGGCCAAGACCGTTGTAGAGGAATGGATTGATACAATTTATTTTCTTCTATTAAAATAACTTTGCAACTAGTTAAGTACTTAAGTTAATGTCTACATTCTTTTAAATACATATGAACGCCCATACCCAACACATACAGCTTTTTTCATTCCATTTATATTTGTTTCCATTGTCTTTTGGCTGTTGTAGTCAGTTACATGAAAGAAGTCAAGAAACACTACAATTTGACACGAATAAACTGGAATGGAGATCTGTGCTCCCCAAGAGAATATTCCTGGGAAGGTTTGACTTGCGACTACTCTAAGAGCAACCAGAATCCGAGGATTGTTGGAGTGTAAGAACCTAACAGGGACTTGTACCATATACATTTCGGAATCTGAACATCACAATTCAATATTTTTTAACTTTTGAAGCACATTCTGTTATATAAATAATTTACTGTAAACCTGAACCACAAAAAGATACTAGAATAATCTCAAGGAAACATGTTAGCTCAATGATATCACAAAATGAAGACATTTGTATTGAATGATTTTTTTTATTTTTTTTTGCAGAAATCTGTCTACCAGCGGACTGAAAGGTGGATTAACCATAGCATTCATGAACATGGTATCACTGGAAAACCTGTAAGTGGTGCCTACCACAAAATATTAATGGGATAAATGAGGTTATGTTAACATCTTTGTGATCCTAAGCATAAAACATATGCAGGGATTTGTCACACAACAATTTGACAGGAGGTATTCCAGACTACCAAATAAAGTCAATAAAAGTTCTGTAAGTCTCTGCTGATTATAATGTTTGGGTGATGATATAAATTTTAGAGAATGGTTTTAACTATTATTTTACAGAGATTTGTCATATAACCAACTCGATGGACCAATCCCTCATTCTATTCTTCAAAGATATCAGGCCGGTCTGCTTGACTTAAGGTTTGCATGCTCTGTTGCACAATCCTTTCGTCTTGACTGAATGTTTCACAATTTCTTACAACAGAAGAAAAAAAATAGATCAAACTAAACAACTACACCGAAAAGAAACAGGGTTAAGCCTCATAGAAAAAAAATCAAGGTTTAGCAAAAATCTTCGCACATTTCACAAAACAACAGTTATACAAGTTTGACTTTCTGTGGCAACAGTTTGGTTGGTGTTACATTTTGTGGCGTGCCACATTTTTCCAGCACCAAGCCGCAGCAGCCTCATTGTCGTATATGTGAACACTTACCAAATTTGACGAAGTTGTGATGGCCAATTCGGGTGCCACAAGAAGTGTGTGCAGCAACACTTGCGCAGAGCATTGCATTGATCTAAACATTCCATCAGTTACGTGTACTAGTATAACTATAAGGCTTTATCATCTATCGGCATTCAATATGAGAAATAGATAAGGACATTTAGTAACTGCACATGATTTACAAACCATGAAGTTTCTTCTTTTAGAATGCATAGATGAGAAACCATGAAGTTTATTCGTTCAGAGTGCATACATGTTTAGCATGTTAGTCGTGTTAGAAAATGGAGGCATCTTCTAATCATAATTTTGTAGAGCTGTTGTAGCTAACATCTTATGTGTTCATTTTTTTTCTATATGTTCTGTAATGGTGCCACTAGGTTAGAAGGCAATCCCGTATGCTCAAAAGTCAAAGATACGTACTGTTCAAATAAGAAGAGCACCAAATCTACCATGGTCATCGCAGTGATAGTTCCTGTAGTACTTGTATCCCTCCTAGTAGTGATGTGCATACTCTGGAAATTGTGCTGGAAAGGTAAAACAATACATTTCGCTCTTAAATTCCCTTCCATCAATGGAATAGGTGGTAGAAATTAAACAGCAGCTTCACACCAAAACTTTCATGTAACACACTACTTTTTGACTCTGCGGGGATGTCAGGAGACACTGAGGATTATGCTATGTATGAAGAGGAGACGCCCCTACATATTGACATCAGACGGTTCACCTACGCAGAGCTAAAGCACATAACAAACGACTTCAATTCAATAGTTGGAAAAGGAGGTTTTGGTACTGTTTATCATGGCACAATGGAAAATGCTGATGAAGTGGTGGTAAAGGTGCTTATGGAGACATCAATAGCGGAGTCAACGGATTTCCTCCCTGAGGTATACCATAAGACCAACTAGGTCAAATTAATGATTCTTCAACAGAAAGTAAACTATAAGTGTGCAAGATATCAATCCTTTCCAGAGTCCATATCCAATGAAATGATGCAACTGGCTTCAGCTCTAGGATGATTGGTAACTATATCTGTTGCTGCAGGTGCAAACCTTGTCCAAAGTTCATCACAAGAATCTCGTAACTCTACAAGGATATTGCCAGAACAAGTGCCTAGCCCTCATTTATGACTTCATGCCCAGAGGAAATCTTCAACAGCTTTTAAGAGAAGGTTTTTCTCTCCACTATTTCAAAAGCACACACCAACAGCTTTCATTAACTACTTGGAAACCACCTACGTGCTACTCCCTCCGTTCACAAATATAAGATGTTTTGGATATTTCAATATGGACTACATAGAGACTGAAATGAGTGAACAAACACACTAAAACTTGTCTATATACATCCGATTCAGAAAAAATTTAAAACATCTTATATTTGTGAACGGAGGGAGTAAATTTTATATTGCGCTTCGCAGCATAATAAAAAATTGATAGGACCTGGCATAAGTTTTTTTAAAATCAAATCAAATAAATCTGGCATTGACACCCTAGACCCTACTGTAAACAAGGAGTTTTTTAAATAAAATCTGATTTCCTTGTTAAAGGTGTAGTTGGTTGCATAGACTGTTATTGCTGCTGCTAATCATACACTTGAGTTGGTGGACCTAGTTCTTTTTAGAGCTTTTCTTTTTTGGAAAATTCTACTTAGAATTGTCCATTGTCAAATTCATAACCATAGCATGGTCATAGATACTTGGCTAACAAATTTGGGCACAACAGTTACATATCTCTACTCAGTCATAGTTATGACTTGATAGTTGCATATTTAAAATCAGTAAGAAACAAAGCAATGACGGAGGTACATATTCAAAGAATACTTCAATAGCTTGGTTCCATTGTTAAAAGAAAAATCTTTGTTAAAGAGAAGGAAAAACAGTGATCTCTTGAAGATCAAAGAGCTTATTTATGCCAGCTTCAGACCATAATAGACCCATTGATACCAAGGTTAATCATTGTGTGTTGTTTTAACATCATTTCTGAAGTTAAATGTGCAAAATTACAAAGCTAGTATGTATGCTACCATGCATGTATCTTGTGGCACTTAAATTAAATTTGGTACATCTTGATGCAGGAGAAGACTACAGTTTGAATTGGGAACAGCGACTTCATATTGCACTTGATTCTGCACAAGGTTGGAATTTCATTTACATGCTTCCTTTAGGCGATCTATGTATGTATCCATATGTTGACAAAGTAAACTACAGGACTGGAATATCTACACGAGTCATGCACCCCATCAATAGTTCACAGAGATGTCAAGACCGCTAACATCCTTCTGGACAAGAACCTGGTGGGGATCATAGCTGATTTTGGGCTTTCACGGGCTTTTAACGATGCGCACACACACATATCTACTGTTGCTGCTGGCACTCTTGGCTACCTTGACCCCGAGTACCATGCAACTTTCCAGCTCACCACCAAGACAGATGTTTACAGCTTCGGCATCGTGCTCTTGGAAATCATCACTGGCAAGCCCCCGGTGTTGATGGACCCTCAAACCTACCACCTACCAAATTGGGTACGCCAAAAGATTGCCAAAGGCAGTATCCAAGATATCGTGGACAAGAAGCTGTTGGATCAGTATGACACCAGTTCCCTGCAGAGTGTGGTGGACCTTGCCATGAACTGCGTCGAAAGCGCAGCCATGGACCGTCCTACCATGACCGAAGTTGTTTCAAGGCTAAAAGTGTTGCTGCCAACGGTTCCAAGTGAAAAGCAGTATGCTTCTGCGTCCTCTCGATGTACGAACTCCATGGATGCTGAAATGCGAAGGCAGTTCCAGTTGCTGATTTCTGAAGAAAGGAACGAGGAGAGCTCCTTCCGGTCTGGTTATACCGGTGGGATGCCAGAATTAAACCCTCTATCTGGACGTTGAAGGGAAAATACCAGCTGAGTTGTTGCATCTGCTTAGTTAAAGTTTGGTAATTTGCTATTGTGTTGTCATTGGTTGTTTATAAACTACAATTCATTCATTTTATTTCCAGTTCCCAGTCTTGCTTGTTGTTTGGATGAGGAGTACTTTTTTGCGCGACACTGGGGTTTAGTTCAAGTAATTTTGAAAAAGGAAGCATCTTCTTCCATGCGATGAGAACTCGGTGATCTATTAACCGGTGCTCGAACATTAGGGTCTAAACCAAATCGAAAACAAGTAGTCAGCTTAAACACTGCTACTTTAGAATTCCAAGTTTTATCCCCAATCCCTCTTGCATGCTGTTGAATTAGATTAAAAATGCGTGCTCACTGTACCAAATCCTCTAAGCAATTGTCGAGTTCATCGACCATCCCAAAAATATATGTGATGGGGTACTATATGAATCAATGAGCGAGTTAGCACCTATATAAGCTACCAAGAGGCTGATGCTTATGAAGGGGCAGAAATGGAACCATATGACATACCTAACCCTCGTCCGCCGTCGGCCCTCGCCCGCAGACAGCTCCTCGACTCGGCCGCTTACTGCAGCGCCTTCTTCGCCTCCAGGCCGAGACCCGGGCTGTTGTGGCGGTGGTCTTGGGGAGAGGGGCGGGGCGAACCCGCGCCGTGCGAAAACCCATGGCCGCCATCCCCGACGGCGACGGCAGAGGGCCGTGCCTGCTATGCGTTCTGCAATCTGGTCTGGTCCAGTGAACCCAAACGACCGCACGCGCGGAGCCGAGTCGCGCGTGTAGGCCCTACTGCCCTAAGGCCCCCGCAACAACAGCTGAATCACTCGTGCTTCTGGAGTTCTGGGTTGAGAGAAAGTCCACCCACCTTATCCTCCGTTTGTTTTATACTACTGGATTACATTTCTTTTGTCGATAAGGCCAAGCCCATATACGTACAGCATTGCAAAGACCATCCTTACAGCGAGCTCCTTTACTGGGTGGACTGATGGGCATGGCATGAAGCAATTCAGAGGTCGGTGCCTTATAATGAGTATTATCAGTCATCCAGTACAAGACCCAGGAGTTCATATCTTCAGAATCACCTGTGATATGCAGTGTAGCGTAGAACTGAAGAATAAGCTCTTCATTCCAATCAACAATGTCAGAACAAAAGTTGAGGAGGCCTGTGTCATGAAGCACACTGAGTACAGGAGTGAGACAAGGCAATGATTCCATGTCCACATGAGGAATATGCTCATGGTAGAAGATTTTGTCCTTGTTGAAAAGCAGCGAAGAATAGAAATTGGTCTGGCTGGCAGTCCAGAAGCGCTTCCTCCTAAGACGAGCAGAGTCATAAGGATTATAGTCAGTGAAGAATACATGCTCGCTGTCGGTGTCAAAACCGGCGGATCTCGGGTAGGGGGTCCCGAACTGTGCGTCTAAGGCGGATGGTAATAGGAGGCAGGGGACACGATGTTTTACCCAGGTTCGGGCCCTCTTGATGGAGGTAAAACCCTACGTCCTGCTTGATTATTCTTGATAATATGAGTAGTACAAGAGTTGATCTACCACGAGATCGGAGGGGCTAAACCCTAGAAGCTAGCCTATGGTATGATTGTATGTTGTCCTACGGACTAAAACCCTCCGGTTTATATAGGCACCGGAGGGGGATAGGATTACATAAGGTCGGTTACAAAGGAGGAGATATACATATCCGTATTGCCTAGCTTGCCTTCCACGCCAAGTAGAGTCCCATCCGGACACGAGACGAAGTCTTCAATCTTGTATCTTCATAGTACAACAGTCTGGCCAAAGGATATAGTCCGGCTGTCCGGAGACCCCCTAATCCAGGACTCCCTCAGTAGCCCCTGAACCAGGCTTCAATGACGATGAGTCCGGCGCGCAGTGTTGTCTTCGGCATTGCAAGGCGGGTTCCTCCCCTGAATACACCACAGAAGAATTTAAATACAAGGATAATGTCCGACCCTGCAAAATAAGTTCCACATACTACCGTAGAGAGAATAATATTTCCACAAATCTAATCTGCTGACACGTTTCGGCAGCACGACATCACGTCATGGCCCGGTAATTATTCGAACCGTTTTTCTTTAACCAGCCCCGCACATAACGCGAGGCGGTTTTTTGACACGTCTTGTCAAAGCAGAGATCGTGTTCCCCTTATTACGGGATTCTCGTCAATACGGACGTGGGTAACCCAACCGCGCCACCAATTACGGCGCTTGGGGGATAAGCGAGTTTTACCAGGCTAGTGAGGGGGCGCATAGTTTCATCCGCCCTTATAAAGGGATAAGGTTTCACCTTTTTCTACCCACGCCTTCTTCCTCCTTGCTCATCCATTCTTGCGCACTCGAGCTCCAACGCCCAAGTCCACATTCTTCTCCTTAAATTTCTCCAAACATGTCCGGAGCGGGAGGCAAGTGGATGGATTCCTCCGTTACGGAGGGACACATCAAAAAGCTACGCGGAGCCGGATACTTAGCCGCGGATATCGCGCATCAGCTGCCAGCCACGGGGCAGGTCATCCCTACCCCGGAACCTCATGAAAGGGTGGTTTTTCTCCCCCACTTCGTCCGCGGATTGGGGTTTCCCCTCCATCCATTCGTCCGTGGCCTCATGTTCTATTACGGGCTGGACTTTCATGATCTGGCCCCAAATTTCATTCTCAACATCTCGGCATTCATCGTCGTGTGCGAGGCTTTCCTCCGCATCCGGCCCCACTTCGGCCTGTGGCTGAAGACCTTCAATATCAAGCCGAAGGTGGTGGGCAGCCAACAAGCGGAATGCGGCGGAGCCATGGTGGGAAAAATGCCCGATGTTATATGGCTCGAGGGCTCCTTCGTGGAGACCGTAAAGGGGTGGCAATCGGGGTGGTTCTACATCACCGAGTCGCGCGACACCAACTGGGCGGCGGCCCCCGAGTTTCGATCCGGATTCCCCACGCGGCTCACTTCCTGGAAAGAGAAGGGCATGTCCTGGGGTTCATCGGTGGAGCTGGACGGACTCCAGAAATGTATCCGGAATATGATAAGCAAGAAGCTTAAGCTTGTCAACATAGTCCAGGTCATGCTCTTCCGCCGGATCCTCCCGTGTCAACAACGGGATTTCAACTTATGGGAGTTCGACCCGGCCCAGCACCAGACTCTAAGCGAGCTCTTCGACACGACGCACAAGGACGTCTGGAGGGTGCTGTTCAAGGGCGCCAAGGTCCCTCCTTCTCTTACCGAGGACCGCGGGCTAAGCGCGAAGCGCCCTGCGAATTCGGTGAGTTCTACACATCTGGTAGGATATTTATTTCTCATAGTTTAACCACGTGCGGGGTCTGAGCTCCCATGCCTTTGACAGGACTAGGTGGAGACATCGGAGCAGATTAACTATCCAGCCCCTCTGCCCAAAGACACTGCGAACGCTCTCCTGACGGAGATGCTGACTCCGGCTCCTTATAAGGTGCCGAAGAAGACCAAGAAGAAGGCCAAGGGAACCCGAAAGAGTTCCCGGCGCCAGGTGGTATCAGACTCATCGTCCGATAACTCCGCGACACACTCCTCCCATGACAATGAGGAGGAGGAAGATGAAGATGCTCCCCCTCCAGCCGGGGGAGACAAGAAAAGGAAGGACTATCCTTCCGGACTGCTCCACCACTGCCGCCGACGGCGAAGACGAGTGGCCGCTAGGGCCAAGCCCCTGGCGAAGTTGTAAGTATTCGGATACCAGAGTAACTCATAGCATACCTTTGTCGCACTGCTTCTCCTCACGCCGAATATGATTATGCAGACCGCCCCAAGCCCATATCGACGTATCCTCATCGGACGGCTCCTTGGACTTGTCGGATATGGACAGCGATCCACTTCCGATCGCCTCCTCCCCTTGCCCTACAGACAATGCCGAGGTATTGTCTCAAGGGGCGCCGAGCCGGGGGGAGACAGTCCCGGAGGCGCCTCAAGGCGACCTTCCGGACTCCAGGAGCAAAGGGAGCCAGGCTCCCGGGGGCTCCAAGTTCGGCTCTCAGTCGAACACCACGCGGGAACCTCCAATGGTTCCGGACTCGGGCAGGCGGCCCCCTTCTAAAAGGGTTAAGACGCCCGTGCTGGTGACCTCTGTCTATCCAGAGGCGCCGGACAACCTGCTCAGAGCGCTTTGCGGCGCTTCCATCGATGAAGAGCACCGCACTATTATGAGTGCGGTGATCAAGAAGGTTCAGTCCGCCAAAAGCGGACTGACTGAAGCCTGTGCCAGCCTTCTAACAGGCTTTGAGGTAAGTATTTAAAACATAGGAAAAATATTACCGCATAGACAGTAGCCCCTGATGCTCTGTTTGGTGTTCACAAAGAAAAGCCGAATAGAGGATCAAATAATAACTGCAGGAGTCTAATATGAGTATGTCTATATGCGTATGCAGGCTTCGCTACTGGCCTCTGACGCACTAACTGCGGAGGTTGCCTCACTGAAGCAGGACCTCGAAGGGTCCGAGAAGGAGCTCGGCCTTGCCAAGAGGCAACTCGAGGAGAATAAAGGTAAGTAATACCTTGTCTATACACACACACACACACACACACAAAGATGCGATTGCAAAATGATAGGATCATCATGAATTTGCCAGGGGCCACGACCGAAGTGGCGACCCTGAAGCAAGCACTGTCTGAGGCCGAAAACAAAGCGGCCAAGGAGCGCACCGAGCGGAAAAAGCAAGAGGCACGGGTGGGCGAGGTGCAGCAAGAGCTCCAGGCTCTCGTGACGAAGCACGAGGCTTTGGAGCTTGACTCGAAGACGTGAGAGTCCGAGCTTGCCACGGCCCTCGAGAGTGCAAAGAATGCCAAGGCCGAAGCCCAAAAGGCCCTCCAGGAGATTGAGGCGATGAGGAAGATAGCGGCGGGTAAGGCATTCAATATGCAAAGTAAGCATGTGAAAGTAAATTACTTGTTACTTACCCGAGTCCGGAGCTCTCCAAGAGCATCGCATATTTGCCCCACAACGTGTCGGATGCCGCGGAATTTT